CCGGTGACACGCGAGATGGTTTCGCGGCCAGACAGATCGGTGATGTGGACGAAGGTATCGTTGAACGAGGCGAAGATGCGGGCAACGCCAAAGACGAGCTCGCCCTCACGGACCTGGGGACCAAGCTGCAAAAGTCGTCAGTTCGGCGCTCGTTCGCGGGCGTGCAGGCGCAATGCTGCGTTTTCGGACGCGTCGTACCTGGATGTTCTCCTGCGCACCGCGCTCGACCTTCTTCTTGGGAGGCATGTTGGCTGTGTATTAGTTTGACTGGCTGACGATCGTGAGGAGTGCGCGGTGAGGTCGAACTTTTGCAATTATTGAGGTGGGCCCCACGGCTAAGCGAGTCTTGCTTAGTCACGCCCGCTAGCGTGTAGAAAAGTCGACTCTTCGCGCGACGCAACTGAGCGAACCCTCCAACATGGGCTGAACACCGCGCTCGACCTACGCACCGCAGTGTGTATACGCAATCACAATGGACCATGGCAAGAGCGTCGGAATTATCGGCATGGGCGACATGGGCAAGATGTACGCCCGCCGCCTGAGCGCGGCAGGATGGAAGTGAGTGCGCGGCACGGGTCATGCAGCTTTGCACTTGGTAAGTCAACTCCTGCAACACCTCCTCCCCATTATTTCATGATGACTGTGAGTGCATTTGGCTCGAGCGTGGCGCACGGCTACGCTGTCACCGTCTTGGTTGGCAGCAATTAGCCGTGTTGTCGCCAATGATGTGAATTCTCGCTACCTTAAATTATACAACTCTGATCTCAACAATCAACCTCGCACTGTTCAAAGAATTTCTTCTCTGGACCTTGCTAACCGATGCCCACAGAATAGCAGAATCTGACGCTTGTGAAGAGTTAACGCCTGCGACGTACCAGAGAGATTTGACGCGTTGCTGGAAGAGTTCAAGGAACTCGTAGGATAGTCTATGTACCACCAATAGAAGCATGCTGAGACGCTCCAGTCCAAAGTTGAAATCATGCAAAGCGGCCACTTTGTCTCCCGGTGCAGCGACTACATCATCTACAGTGTCGAGGCGAAGAACATTGACGCCATTGTGAAGGCATTTGGACCGTGTATGCCGAACTGATGCTGAAGTGAACTGCAACTAACCCACAACCAGCGACCAAAGTCGGCGCCATCGTTGGTGGCCAAACCTCATGCAAAGCCCCAGAGATTGCAGCATTTGAGAAACACCTCCCAGCGGATGTCAGCATTGTTTCCTGCCACTCCCTCCACGGGCCTGGCGTAGACCCCAAAGGCCAACCCCTCGTACTGATCAAGCACCGCGCCTCCGATGCTGACTTTGCCTTCGTCGAGACCGTCCTCTCCTGCCTGCAATCCAAACACGTCTACCTTACCCGCGAGCAACACGACCGCATCACTGCCGACACGCAAGCCGTCACCCATGCCGCCTTCCTCAGCATGGGCGCCGCGTGGTCCGCTAACAACCAGTTCCCGTGGGAAACGCCGCGCTACATTGGCGGCATCGAGAACGTCAAGATCAACATTACTCTTCGTATATACGCGAACAAATGGCACGTGTACGCAGGTCTTGCCATCTTGAACCCAGATGCACAGAAGCAGATCAAGCAGTACGCCGAGTCTGTGACCGAGTTGTTCAAGCTGTTCCTGGCGGGCAATAAAGAGGAGCTGAGCCGGAGGGTGTATGCAGCTAGGGACGCTGTATTTGGCGGCGCGCATGCAAAAGAAGAAGGTCAGGAACTGCTGCTGCGCGACGATCTGCTGGATAAGTTTAGTCTGGGCGAGATGCCGGAGAAGAAGCTGAAGAACAACCACCTCAGTCTGCTGGCCATCGTGGACTGTTGGTGGAAGCTGGGAATCGTGCCGTACGATCACATGATCTGCTCCACCCCGGTGAGTCCTAACCCATTCTTTCAACCTCCCAAGCTCCAGACTGATGTTTCAAGCTCTTCCGTATGTGGCTCGGCATCACAGAATCGCTCTTCCGCAACTCCGCGCTCCTCGAAGAAGCCATCGACACCGCCATCAACGACAACACCTTCCGCGGCGACGATCTCGAATTCACCTTCGCCGCGCGCGACTGGAGCCAGAGAGTCAGTCTGGGTCACTTCGACGCGTACAAGGAGAAGTTCGAGGGCATTCAGAAGTACTTTGAGCCTAGATTCCCTGAGGCTACAAAGATGGGGAATGAGATGATTAAGGCGATCTTGGAGAAGTCAGAGGGTAAGTAAGGCACTTGTCGGAAGGAAAGCAGTATGGGGGGTCCTGGCTATGACCAGCCAGCTGCGCATGCGCTTTTCTTCGAGAATCAAATCCACTTCCTCTTCTGCATATTACCCATCCCAAGTGGCGACCTGTGACTACCATCATGTCCGTCAGCTTGTCTCGTCAGCTCAAAACATCCACAGACAGGCAAGACTGTTGTTAACTGTTCCGATGCATGCGTTAGGGGTGTCCCGTTTTCCCTCTTACGATTCTGCAAGAAACATTCACAAAGCACGACTGAGCTTTAGACAGAAGCAGCCCAACGGAGAAAGAAAGCGAAAAGTGTCGAACATGGTTGCACAAGGTGGATCCTGTTGTTTAGTACCCGGTAATGCGCATGGAATTAGACAGTGACGCTATTCTAGAATACTACGGTATTCAGCTCCGTCTTTGCACCAGCGCCCCTGCACGTCACCTGAGCATGAACTGTGCGTCAATACTTAGACCCTATCTGTTCGAGACTTTGCAGTGAGTAGTTCACGTACGTCTAGGCGTTTGGTATCAAGGCAGGGGGTGAAGACGAGTCTTGACGAGGGATGTAAAGCGCCGCCACAAAGCCTAACACACACCACTCGTTTGCAAATCTGGAATGTTCACGCATATACCTACATAGGACGTGCTCGGCCCAATTTCCCCGCGCACCGTAGTGTTCATACTCTCTTTCTCAGAAGAAAAGTACTCGAGCACACCAAACACCCCCCATCCAGGAACGACGGAGTGAAAAAAAATCTCGAAGATAGCTTCCCACCAGCCCTGCCGCACCGGGTACTTTGTTGTCCCGATGGGGAAGGAAGCGTAAAAGTGTCGAACGCTGTCGCTGTCGGGATCCGAGGTCTGTCGTGTGGGGTCGTTATACAAGTGTCTTGGAGGCTTTTGACTGGACGATGACCGGGCGGGAAGGATTCGAAGGATTCGAAATCTGATGTAGGTGACCGACACATAGTCCCAGCCAATGAGCTGGCTTGTCTGCTTCGCTGTCTTGTTGTAAACACCCGGTGAAAGACATGGGTTGGTTGTTCTTGTTTAATGTTGCAGGGTGTTCTGTGTGAAAGTAGACAACTTTTTGGTGAGGCTGCAACAATCCTGATGGGCTTGTTCGTCACTCTGACTACCCTCCCATTACTGGTTGAGTAGGTGGGATGGTCGCACTTGACATGGCCTTGATCTATCCAGAGCAGGTAGGTTGGTGTAAGTGAAGGCATCTCACCTCCACTCACCTTCACTCCCCTCGCTTACGTGTTCCACGCGAGCCCGCGACCATACTGAAAGCCACCACCTGCGCATCACCAACGACGACCTTCTCTGCTACCACCAGTGCCACCCTCTTCACATCTCAACCATGGCAACCGCCCCACAGCAGCAGGCACTAGCCTCGCTCAAAGAGTAAGTCCATTATCAGCTAACCCAGCGCACTAAACTGACCACTTGCACAGCTTGTTGACCTCAGGCGATTACTCTGACCTTACTATTACCTGCGGCCAGGGTACATACAAGGTCCACAAGGCGATTGTGTGCAGCAGGGCCGGGTTCTTTGCGCTTGCAGTTCGGTTCGGCGGACAGGTGAGTACCTTTGGTTTGTTGCGATTGTAAGTGAAGGGATTGCTAATGCTGAGAAAGGAACCCAAATCGGGAGTGGTCGACCTTCCTGGAGATGAGCTAGAAATTGTCAAGTTTCTTGTTCAGTATCTGTACGAGGCTGATTATAACCCAGTTCTGCCTACAGATAATCAGGTAAAAACGACCGTTGCGGCGACTCCACGGGTATCCTGCTACAGGTACGATTTCCCACACTCTTGCAGGCCTGGATATGATCCTTTCAATCAGATACACGTCCTCTGCACGAAGAGAAACGTCTGCCCGCATCATTTTTGTACACCGTATGAGCTCAGATGTTGCTATGACTTCAGCTGCGAGTTCTGTGAAGCGCCGTCATCTCCTCCACCACCTCCTGCCGGTAAAGCGCAACAACTCCTACTCCACGCGAAGATGTACGAGACCGGCGACAAGTACGAGGTTAAAGGCTTAAAGGATCTCGCAAAGGACAAGTTCGAAGCCTCTTGCAAGCACTTCTGGAACACTTCAAGCTTCGCAGTCGCCGCCAGGCACGCCTTTTCCACCACTATCGAGGACTACAAGGGCTTGAGGAACATTGTTAGTGCCACCATCTCTGAGCACCTTGAGCTTGTGGATGACCCGGAGGTTGGGGCTGTCATGACTGAGTTCAATGGCCTGGCGCTGAGCATCCTGCAGGCGACGATCGGAGAGCAGGGTTGCAAGAAGTAGTGCAGACCACCGAGGGGCTGAGAGGTGGTGCTTCAATGTCATTCCAAGACGTACTGTATTATGCTAACTTTATTAGGCCGCGCAAGACATGGAGAGGCTTGTGTGCAAAGCAGATAACTTTATGCAATCGCACACACTGTTAACACAGCTCAGCACAACTCATGTATCACATGTTTACCCTGTTCATCATCATGGCTTGAGAACCTCGATCGTCTGTTGGGGGTTGTCGTGAAAACAAAAAGAGCAAATGGAAATGGTTTTCGAGATAATCTTTGTTTGAACAGAACATTTTAAACCTGTTGAGATCAGTCACAGATGTGATGTTCCTGGTACGCCGCGGGACCTCGGCAAACTTCATTGTCCCCGCGGAAATCAACTAGGTATCAGCAATAGAGCTTCCAGCAAACCATTTTGAAGCTAGCTATATATTTTATAAACTTGATGACTCCCATAAACAACAATCAAACGGGGAAGTAGCTCAGTGGTAGAGCGCCCGCTTTGCATCATCTCGATCAAATTGCGGGAGGCCCAGGTTTCGATCACCTGCCTCTCCACATTTTTTTGCGCTTTCCAAAGCGCTTCCTCTTCTTTTTTTGCTCATTCACAAAGACTCCCTCTCCCTTCACTGGTTCTGAACTATTCGCAGCCTCTCCACCCCTCACCCATAAGCTTGACTCAGCTCGTGTCAAGCTTCTGGTGAGGGTGCGGTGGTATGGACCGTCGCGGACTGGGATTAATGCATATATTGGTAGTGGACGCTGAAGTCTTCCATCTGGGCTGCAACGGAGTGTTGGGGGCAGTTTCACAGAGTTGCGTCAGAGTATCAAAGGGTGTGGTGGACATAATATGGATCTGTCAGTCAAGGGGCGAACCCACAGTTCTTCAATTCCAGGCTTTATCTGAAAAACCGAAAAAAAAACCCATTGAACTCAGTAGAGTTCTGATGGCAGATGCTTTCGCACACAAACTGTCGTGGTGCTGAGGGCGACAGGTGTGATGCGCTTGAATCTAGAGATTGAGGATCAGAGTTGATGGCATTGCGAGATAACCCTTCTGTTAATGAACATCGAGTTCATGCCGAACAAAAGAAGGATAGGTACGCGTAGAGGCTTGAACTGATCTGGCAGCGACCATGCAAACTCAGGGAAGCTCTGAAAGGGATCTCATTCAACTCCATGAATCTCATACAAAAGCACAAGCCCCTTTGCACATCCGCAACATATTCACGTCGACGTCCATTGGTGACTGTAGAGTTAAGGGTGTGTATTTTATGTATATACCTGGATATATATAGCTGACCACCCGAATGAACTTCGACATCAAACAACAACCACCACCTCGGCGATCATAGTCGACAAGCAAACAGGACCAACACGCCTCGTTGCCTCTCTCTGCTCCCCACAGCAGACGCAGACATGGTGGCTTACCACAGCGACGACCACCGCAGAAGGGGCTGACAGCCAGGCTGGAGCCCAAGCAGCAGCAGACCTCCATACCGGTCTTTGAACACGTCCGGTAGGTAGGTAGACAATCACAAGTACTTTTTCTCCACCTACGTCCGATTCTTGCTCTGCCACGTGCACACTCGACTGTACCTACGCCTCTCCCAGACTCATTCCAGGCCGCCAGTACTTGTACCGCTCCGCCTCCTCCCTGAGCGTGTGCGGCTGGTGCTCGCCCAGCGCGCGTTCGAAGTGTCTCATCTCGACGAGCGGCACCGCGTCCGGGTTGCGCTCGAAGTCAGAAATGGCCATCTCGACTGCAACGGCACACAGGCCTTTAATGTCAGCACCGCTGCTACCCTCCGTGCGCTCCGCGACCATGTCCAAGTCCACATCCGCGGCGAGCGGCCGCTTGCGCGTGTGGATCTGCAGGATCTGGCGGCGGGCGTCGAGCGTGGGCAGCCCGATGTGGATGTGTGCATCGAAGCGGCCTGTGCGGATGAGTGCAGAGTCGAGGATGTCAGGGCGATTGGTGGCGCCGATGATGAAGACGTCCTTGAGCGCCTCGATGCCGTCCATCTCGTTGAGCAGTGTGGTGACGACGTTGAGCCCACTGTCCTGCGTCTTCTCGCGCGACTTGCCGATGCTGTCGATCTCGTCGAAGAAGACGATGCATGGTTTGGCGGCGCGTGCGCGTCTGAAGACGTCCCGGATGGCGCGTTCGGATTCACCCACGTACATCTTGATCAGCTCAGAGCCCTTCACGGCGAGGAAGTTTTGGTGCGATTCAGTAGCGACGGCCTGCGCGATGAGCGTTTTGGCGCAGCCGGGCGGGCCGTACATGAGAACGCCTTTGCGGGATTGTGGGCCGCCGAATTTCGTATCAAGGTCGGGATGCTGCAGATGCGTTAGTCTTGAGTGATATTTTGCGGATGCATCTGTACATACCTTGAACGGCCGGATGGTAACAGCCTCGAGCAGAGCGCGGACGTGATCTAAGCCGGCAATTTGATCCCACTTGACTTTCGGTACTTCGAGAATGCTGTCCTTAAGAACGGTGGGCTGGACTTGATCGATCACGGCGTCGAAGTCGGATTGCGTGACGAAGTCGCCTGCTGATAGCACTTCACTGAAGGATTCTTTCTTTTCATCTCCGAGACTGTCATACACAGCTTGCACGCGATGGTTACGTGCAAGACCACAGAGCTTGCGGATATCTCGACCCACAAAACCATGTGCACGCTCTGCCACAGCAGTGATCTTGACGCTCGAGGTGGGTCTTCCTGGACCAATGATCTCACGCAGGATGTCCTCTCGCTGTACAAGGTTAGGGGGGAAAATCTCCAACTCGGTCTTGAATCCTGATGTAGTACGCAGGCTACTATCAATATCATAGATGCTGCGAGCAGCTGCAGCAACGACAACTTTGCTGCCTTCCAATTTCGCCAGTTCAGAGCGGAGCTTGCCCACCAAAGTCTCAGCTTTCTCAAGGAACTTGTCCAAGTTGTCCATCAGCACCAGACTTGGCTGATTCTCTTTCGCTGCTTCGAACGTGTCTTCAATGCCGGCCGCTTGGTTTTTTGGGTGGGTCTCGAGGCTCAGACGCTGGACGTCGTTCCACGGTCCCTCAGCGAGACGCTCCAACAGCATGCTCTTACCAGTACCTTCAGGGCCATGGAAGAGGAAGGTTGTTGGTCCGAGGAGGTGCTGGTCCGGCAAAGAGAGTGATGCTTGTGAGAAGAAGAAAAGACTTTTGTTGACTGTTTGAATCTGCTCTGAAAGTCCTCCGATCCCCTCACTTTCCAGCTTGAGTATCTTGGATGTTGATTTCGATAGCAATTCCGTGGCAGGGAGCTGTGCAGCCTGTTTTGGGGGAGGCTCATCTGCGGCTACAATTTGGGTGCTCACTGGGTCGAAGTACAGTGCAGTTTTCTCGTCCGGTTGAGGATCGATGCTCTCTACTATTAGACGCAGTTTGGCCGTCTTTGACTGTTCCTTTGGACCCTTTGCTTGCACTTGGAGACTGCATCCGGGCAACACAAGCTCAACATCCACCAGTGCATAGCGTGCCCAGTACAGCAACTCTTCGGTCGATGCGAACTTGGCGCTTGGTTCAATGTCCTCCGGATATGCAATTCGAACGCTCGTAAGAGGCTCCCATGAGTCACTGGCTTTCTCAATGAAGACTGGATCGTTGAGTGACAGGCTGCACTGCTCCTTCAGCAAGTCTGTGACCTTTGCTATGGGCTTCTTTGCGGGATTCGTTCCAGCCGCAGTCCAGGCAATGCCATAGCCCTTGAAGCCAGCAAGTGTTTTCAGTCTGATCAGATCGCCGGGGGTCAGACGGTGGTCCCTCAGCTCTTTTGGCGAGAGATGCACGCGGAAGGCACCCTCGAGCGCGTTGCCGGGGGTGCTGGGCGGATTGCGCTCCAGCGGGCGGAGAGTAAAAGCCGCACTCATGGAAATGAATCTGTCCGTTCCCTGCGTCTATCAAGTCTGTCGCTCGTTGTGGTAGAAATTGTGCATGCTTGACTAAGCGGGAGGCGCTAGAGCGAATGCGGACAGGTGCGTGCTGGAGGCTTTTCGAAAGTCGTGACGGGATGCGCGTCCGCTCCAGCGTGCCATGTGACGAAGCGACAATTGATGCCACCGCCGCGCCTTCCTCGACATCTGCGGCCATGTCGACCTCCATGGAGCGCCCATCAGGTTCGATTCGCCTCTGACACGCCATCCAATGGCCCCGCGACCGTCGGCGGCGACAGTGGGACTGGGGAAGGAGGAGCTTCTGGCGCATCCACCACCCGGACCGGTGACCCCCTCAGTCAGGCCCAGCGCATGAGGTTGTTACTGAGGGAAAAACTTGCAACAGATCCGCCACCGGGCCTGCGAATCCAGCACGTTGCGATTGAGAAGCCGGATACGAAGCCCACCGAGCTGGTCCATCGGTACTTTACGGAAAAAAAGACGGCGGAGCATATTGCGCAAAAAGAGAAGCATCAGAGGCTGCAGCGGAGAAAGTTGGCCTTGGAGAAGTACCTTGTGGAGAAGGAGAAGCAGCAGACGCAGGATAAGCAGCAGACGCAGGATAAGCAGCAGACGCAGGATAAGCAGCAGACGCAGGAGAAGCAGCAGACGCAGAAGGTACAGGCGCGCAAGGTACAGACGCGCAAGGTACAGTGGCGCAAGGTACAGATGCAGAAGGACCAGACGGAGAAAGATCAGACGGAGAAGGATAGGACAGAAAAGAACCAGACACAGAAGGCGCAGCAGCTGAGCGACTCAGCAGAGTCGATGGAGGAGCTTCGCAAGAAGCTTCAGACGGTTCAGGAGCAACTAGCACAGCTGCAGCAAAAGCTGTACCAAGCTGACAAAGTGGCCGAGCAGCCCAGCGGCGACGAGCCACGCAATACAAGGCCGCCCAGGTCAGCCTCGTCGGACGATAAGTCTCCCGACACCAGCTCACTCAGCCTTGAATCGCACAGTACTGAGCTCTCTAGCGCCCAGGAGCCTGCGCGTGCTGAAATCGGCAGAGAGGCTGCAGAGACTACAGATGCTGCAAATGCGACTAAGTCCGAACATACTGCAGATCCTGCGATCACGGTCGAGACTATAAGCTCGGCCAAGACTGCAGAAGTGGCAAGGGCTAGAAAGACTGAAGACAGGGCAAAGACAAAACCGCTCATGGACGAGCTCTTCCCTGGAGCCAGCAATCTGCCCTCACTCGATAATGTTGATAGACCCTCGCCGCCCAAGCTCGACCTCCCAGCGCCCGACAGAGGTGTGCCTGTACGCGTCACACTCTCAGACAGCCGCACCGACCGTGAGAAGGCCATTGACGCTTTCCGTGCCCACGGCGAGCAGACCACTGTCCTCCAGCTCAGCCACTGCAGCACCGCCCTGACCGAGGCTGACTTCCGCCGTGTGAGCCTACGCGGTCTGCACATCGAGACATGGTCGCGCGACGGCGAGTTTTACAAGATCATCCCAGGCCGCGACCCCCTCTCGCTCGCCCGTCTGCCCTTCTACTACCTCTTGTTTCGCACTCCCGAGTCAGCGCTCGCGTACCAGAAGAACGCCTCCCGGTTGAGCAGGTTGACTGCTCTGTACCAAGC